AGTACTTCATTATTTTCTGAGGTTCTGCTGCAATGGAGATATGCTATACACAAACCTACATACCTGCCTCAGCAATTAAAGTAAGTTAAATAATTTGTGGGCCTCAGTTCTTGATAGTAAAGGTACTATAAATAAAGGAAGTTCTCAGGTACAAAACCCTTAATTGAACTTAACATTTTATTTTCTTCAAAACAAATCATAACTTGACTTTCCTCCCAATTTATTTTCAAAGAACAGAAATGAATTTAAATAAAGAAACAGAAGGGCCAAGAAATAAGTCCTACATGCGGGTTTATTATTGTTTCAATAATCAATAATCAGCAATTAAACCATTCTGGATTGCTCAGATATTGGGTATGAGCAAACCTATATTTATCTTTTGGAACTGAAGCTCAATATCTTATATGAAGTTTTTTTTTTCCATTACTTTTCCTTCAGCTCTTATGGAAAATATATGTTTTCAAAAAAGTATGAAGAATCTATCAGCTTTCTGATCATTGTAACTCTTAAAAGAAATAGATGACAACCAGCCAGAGGACCCCTGATGGAATCAAGTTAAATGTCCTCCCTGGCCAGAGGCAGCAACGTAAGAAACCACCACACAGCAGTTTCCTGATTTTCTGTGACTGACAATCAGAAAGCCCCCAAATCCTTGCACTATAAAGTAGAGGAAACAGTTGTAAATCAACTACAGCCAAGAGGAAGAAAAGGCATTTCCCCCACCTCTAACAAAGGGAACTGAGAGTGACCAGAGGTAGCAGCAAGCTTCTCTACTTAGCTTCATAATTTTCATTCTTACGTTATGAAAGAGAAGTCATCATTAGCACATGGAAGGATAAATATATGTTTTGAAGGCTTTGTTCACAGAAAGGAACAAAGAAGCTCTGCATAAATAGAATCCCTTATCTGAAACCTAAGAAAAAGGAAGCCAGTTCCTGGGCAATACCTTTATCCATAAGTAAGGAAATAGGCCCATGGGAAATACACACGGATGGGGAGCTCTTGGCTCCGGTCCCACGGGGGAAAATGGAAGGTGCTTGTATGCGTGGACTTCATGACAACTTTGGTACAGATGGAATCTGGTACATAAAGTACACAGTAGCCACAGGGATTGTTTTGTTTGATCTCTGCACAGAGGATTTGGGGCCTGCAAAGTGCAGGCAGCATGATTTTTGCCTTGGCTATTTTAGTATTCATGTCTCCTGTACTGCTTTCTAATAAGTTAAGATGAAACGGCAGACTGCATGCAGGAGTGAGGGATGCAAGAAAAGCGGTACTGAAAAGGAAAAATGAACAAAAGTGCATCCCAACTTCTCTTTTATTATGAACAGGCAAGAGAACAGCAATGCCAATCTCATTGTTACTGCTTAACACTTGCCGCTTACAAAAGGAGTTCTAGTCATTTTTACACGTATCTACCAATACTTTTCTGATGGGGGTTGAGGAGCTCTGTTGCTATTCTTCTTTTTTTTTTTTTTGAGACAGAGTCTCACTTTGTTGCCCTCAGTAGAGTGCTGTGGCATCACCGCTCACAGCAACCTCCAGCTCTTGGGCTTAGGCGATTCTCTTGCCTCAGCCTCCTGAGTAGCTGGGACTACAGACGCCTGCCACAACACCCGGCTATTTTTTTTGTTGCAATTTTGTTGGGGCCAGGTTTGAACCTGCCACCCTTGGTATAGGAGGCCGGTGCCTTACCCACTGAGCCACGGGCACTGCCCTCTGTTGCTATTCTTGACAGCAATTTTATACTGACAAATTAAATGGCTTTTCCAAAATGGAAGATAACCATTCAGTCTGTACCAGCATGTTACCAAAACGGTCAATGAGAATATTTGTTCCCTTTGCTATGTGGGTAGACCAAACCAATGGCTGGTTGGCTATTTGAATTTTGGTTCCTTTCTATTATAGAGAGTCATTTTTTCAGTGTTACTCACCTCCACTCCATTCAGTTCATTACTTAAGAATACGCTTTAGATAGTGTTTCTAACATATAAATAACATAACAGGATATGAGCTACAGAAAAGTATGATGACCTTCCTTTTCATTCTTCTGTGTAAATGGTATAGCTTCCGTGCATGGGTACCTGTAGTCCTGCCTGTGGAATGGCGTCTTTCTAAGAGGAGCACATCTGTGGGGCAGGCTGAGAAGTGTCTGCTCAAGCGAAGTGGTTTCACAAACTCTAGCTAACCTCAGGTTTTAGGTATTTGTCAGTGAATATGTTAGTTCGCATGAAGAAAGTTATTCAATAAGTAAGTAGACCCCCAATCCATCTATGACTATTAACTGTCATCTTCACCTTCCTGACAAATTACCTTAGCACTTCTTCTGGGGTAAAAGATGACAGTGGGACATTCTACAATCTCTAATGTTTTATTAGATTTGGTGACCATCTGGATATTTTATTATTCCAATGAGAAACATTTATTCATTTATTATTACATGGTCCCCCAAAGCATGGAAATGTGTTCAGTTTTGCCAAATAAGCTGCCTTGATTAAAAAAATACAAACCAATGGTAGAAATTATGCAGATAAAATGTCTCCATTTCTTCAACAAATATGAAAAATTTGCCTTCACTTGGGGCTACGTGGTCACAGACTAGCAGGTAATAAACTATCTTTTAAAAGCATAAGTCTCAGTGAAATGAAGAATGTTAAGTAGCGTAGACATTTATTTCAAAGTTATAGGTATATCTAAGTATAGAAAAACGATTCAAGATTTTTAAACATGTTCCCATTATAAGAACTTTTCTATATTTATTTGTTAATTTCTTTATTTCCTCCCATTTCAAGCTGGTAAATTGAGTCAATAGATACCTATTTATTCTTAGTCTGTAGACTGTTTAATCTAACATGTGAGAACTATGGAAACTTGGCTCCCTTCCTGAAGTGGAGGGAAGTGGCAGGTCTTGAGTCTGTTGCTGTGTTATTTCTCTCTTTTCTGCATGGAAAGCTTACATTGACTGATACCCCTCAGATACAGGGTACAGTCCTATGCTAATGTTCATGTTGCTGTCATATACTGCCTGTAATTCATTGAGTGCATTCTATGTGTCAAACGATTTTATAAACACTATTTTATTTTTAAAAATACTCATATGAACCTCAGAAAATGAAAAAAACAGGACACAGAGTATTTGTATGGCCATCGGTCCTAGATGTAGGTTGCCCATAGGTCTGTCTGGTTCAAAACTCCTGTTTTCTTCCTGTGTCCCTCCAAGTACGGAGTTAAATCAGGCAATGTGAAAACGTCCAGTAGGGAGATAGATGTTCCGGTCTATACCTGTTGGGCTGGCCTACGTAACAAGTTCTCCCTTCATGCTCAAAACTGTCCGAGTTTGGACAATGGGTTTGATAATCAACCTAGCTCTGAGCAAGGTTTAAAATGAACATAATACTTTTCTAAGGTATTATTCCCAAAGCTTTAATTCATTTTTCTGCCTTTACTGAAGGGCTTCAAACAAGTACCAAATTTGGACCCCGCTTGGTGTATTTGAAAAAACAAATCGATTTGTGGATAAAAATCATTTTCTGGTTGGATCTAATATCTTCCTGTCTCTTAGCCTCTGTTTTTCTGTTGCCTCTCCTGGAGAATCTTTTGTTCTTGCTTTTTTCTCTCTGTTTCTCCTCATCCCCACACCTCAGTCTGTGGAGGCTTGCTCTGTTCATCAAGTGTCAAAAATTCATTCTTTGATTTTACTTTTGCGTTTGTTTCTGAGGACTCTTTAAAAGACAGCTTGGTCACCCACTCAGACATTTACATCACTATCAAGTATATTTTTGCCAAAAAAAAAAAAAGAGAGATGAAGATCATTTGGAGACACTGCTATCTTCTTTTCCTTTTTCTCCTTCTCCTTCATCTCACTGCTCCCGTTCCACCCTTCTTTTCTACAGCCACAGTGTACTGGCGTCCAGGGAGCGTTCCCGTTGCGGTTTGTGGACAATGCTGCCGCAGGTTTCGCTGGGGTAAGCCAGCTCCAAAATGTGTTTCAGGCACTACCTCACGTGACTTTCCTCCTCTCCTGCTCTTATAGGCAAACTGTTGTCTTGTTTCTATTATTTTCAAGGGTTTTCGGGAAGAGGAAAGGAAATGACTTTTTTAAAAATAAATCTGATACAATATGTAACTGCTTAAAAGACACATGCAGTAAGAAAATCTGACTTTCACTTTTGTTGGTTTTAAATGTATGGCTTTGATGTATGGATCAAAATTGCTCATTTATTATTTTATCTATACAGCCCTGGGCCATTTTGACAGTTAGAATTTAGTTTTATTGACCAGTGCAGCCACTTGTGCCCACAAGGGGACTGGTGCACACAGCCTGCTGCACTCAAGAAACGATGGTTTTTGATTCCCTGACTGAGTCCGATTGGGAATCATAACCGATATAACAATAAGTTTCAAATCTCAGTGCCCAAGGCAAGAGGTTTGCTGTAAAACACAATCCCCCTTTAATGCGGGGAGGAGAAGAAATCCTGGGTGGAAGTTTGCGAGGCCACAGATACATCTGCCCATCCCAACTGTGCAGCCATTTAAGGGGGGGGGGGTGCTTCTCTCAAGACCCCATTCCATAGACTAAAGATTAAAGAGCAAAAATGCCAAATGTTAGTTACAGAACCAGTGAACTAAACCACTTTGGTGAGAGGATATTTACTAGTGCTATTAACCAATCTTTTACTTTTCACTCAGTAAAAAAAATAATACAAGAATTTCGAGGGGGACATCTTTGGTCCTCCCCTTTGGCCCCATTCCCTACCTTTGCAGCACACACGGAAACACAAACCAGGAGAGTTATAATTCAGGCCCATTTGACTACCAAATTGGCCACCTCTGCAATGTTAATGTAGTCTTTTTACTCTAAATCCCCCATGATACATCAGCAAACCTCCAAAGGTGAACAAATCAATAAAACGTCTAATCTGATTAACCATGTTTTCAAATTCTTCAAGACAGCTCTCACCTGAAATAAAAGTAAGTAAATAAATTAATGATGCACTCACTGGTGAGAATTTTCCACGTCTTCTTTTCGTCGTCGTAATACTGAACCAAATTGCTGGGGAGCCGGTCCGGTCCAGGAGGCAGCCCTCCAACCAATAACAGCATTTTCTTGTTAGAGCGAATTCTTCACCCAAAACAAAAGAGGAGATGAATAACCACATTAGTGTAGAGTCTTTTTAGTGGCAACGAAATCATAACCATCAAAAGAATGTTCCTTGCTTGCAGATTTCTATTTCATTTTTTCCTGTTTCTTCTCCCATTCATGTCTCAACAATTTTTTTTGAACCAAGCAGAAAAATGATCAGAAGAGCTGCACATCCCCATACTCATAGAATAATAAGCTCCCTTTATGCAATTTGTTAGAGGTTCATTCTAGAACGACCTTTTTCTTATATTATCCCTTTAAATCATCACTCTTTACAGCTGAGTACACATGAAATGCTCTGGAGTTGTACTAAGGTTAAGCATTAAAGTTGCATGTCAAAAATCGTATTAGTCAAAATCATTATTATAAGCCATTCTCCACTCAAAGAACCTTGAAAAAATTAAGGTTATGCGGAGAGTTTGTGAGCCAACTCTTTAATCACCCAGGGAACTTCAAATACCAGTTTGGTACAATTAGTAGCACAGGGCTAACTGGGGGTGGGTTAACCAGTCTGAACCTGATTTTTTGTTTGTTTGTTTGTTTAATTTAGCTTAGACTTCTGCCTTCTCCCCCTTTCCCCACTCCCAGCTCACCCTCCTCTCCGCTCTCCCCCTGTGCACCACTGGCGATATAGCAGCACCAATTGGTAAAAATGAGACTCTGATGTTGTTGTGAGCCTCCCCAGAGTGGAGCCCTGCCAATGCTTGCCACTGATCCAGCGGCATGAACCTGCTCAACTGTGCAAAGTCACTCTAATTCCCTCCCTCTGTTTTTCTACCTTCTCCCCCAGGGGGCAACCACTGAAAGGAGTGACTACCCACCCATCAAGAGCTGGCAATTCGCTGCTATTAACCGTGACTGTGATTCCCAGTCTGCCTGGCAGTTCCCGAGAACAGGCCTGCAACGTCTCATATGCAGTAAAAGCTATAAGATGCACCCTGGCCGGCACACTCGACCTGATGGATGTACAATCCTCAGAAACAGTAATGGATTGAGCACACTTGGCGATTGAAGCAGGGAGAGGAGGCCCAGATCCCCACAAGGGGCCTGCTGATTTAACAGTCGCTTTACATATAATTGAACTTTTCATTTACCTGAAGGCTCAAGATGGTGGTGGGAGAAAGGGAACAACGATGACTGAAGGAGAGGAGTTAATAAATATAAAAGGGTTGTTCTTAAATCTGATCTCAACTCACAGTGCGGCTCTATATCCAGCCCCTTCTGATTCAAGGATGCTTGGTGAAATATGCCCTTGTGGAGAAGCATTGTTTGTTGGTTAAGAACCTAACATTCAGAGAGTTAGCTTAATACAGTTAATGACATTTCCATGTGAAGGAAGGGAACAAGAGAATTCCTTTAATGAAACTCTGGTGCCATTAAATGCATTGTATATGCCTCAGTAGGAAAAATACCTTGTGGAGAAACTCCTGTGTTAGAGACTTATGGATAGAGGGAGCGGTACTTATAGAAGAATGACTAATGTGACAGCAGCTTGCAATGCTAATTTTGCCACCCTGTGGATATAGTTGAGGGAAAGGAAACAAACAAAACTTCTTTGAATTTAAAGTACCTTTGAGCTGGTTCACATGCCTTATAGACAAGTAGTTGTTGGCAAAAAACCCAGAATACAACAGCAAAGAGCTCCATACTTTGCGGATTTCAGGGACTGAGGTAGCTTTGTGAAAGGACTTTAAAAAAAAATCAGTGCAGTAAGTACCTCTCTTTTATTTGGAAATATTACACACATAATTCACAGGCTATCCGATCTCTTAAATTCATGGCCACAGAACTGATAGGCGATCTTTTTTTTTTTTTAACTGTCATTTTTAGTCCAAATAATTGATCACTCTGTGCGGGTAAGAGAAGTCAAGATGAACTCAAATACTCTTTTTAGGTTGCTGTAGTTTCTCATGTGCAGATGGACCCGTTCATCTGGAAGCCATGATTGTCTGGCTGTCCTGAGACGGCTTGTCTACAAGCTTCCAGACTGTAGGTGGGGGCAAGCAGAGCAACATCAACAGGATAGACAGAGCAAATAGGGCTCATTGAAGTAGTGGTTGTAACAAAAGCAATGTAATTAAATAGCCATTTAATTTTTAAAGTTTGGGAATCACAGTCATGATTAATAGCAATGATTGCCAGCTCTTGATGGATGAGTAGTCACTGCTACCATTTTAAAATATCCATTTTAATTTTTTAGTTTTTAAAATGCACTGCTTTAAAAACGTGTTTAATAAATAACAAAAAGAGATGACTGCACAGCTTAAATAAGTCATGACTGCATGTTTCTAAGGTCATTTCATTCATTAACAATGACCTGCTTCCCTTGACCAATCCCACTGGTGATTCTCTACACTGACTTAGATGGATCATTTCTGCTGATAAGGAGATGAGCTAGACTAGTCTTTGTCCTCTCTGCCCAAAGAGCCAGCCATGACCATGTATCCTCTACAAACAGGACTGAGAGTACCCAATGTAAGCCACTGAATAGTTAGCAAATGGTAACAACCTCCACCCTGCCAATGATGACATGATTCAGGGGCTAGCTAGAACAGCAGCAATAAAAGACTCCATATAACTAAGGCAGATCCCTAAGCTATCTGGGCCTTTGTGGGGAATGGATGAAGAATTACACAGAAGCCTCACTGGCTGGGTGTTTCCTAGGAAGGGGCAATACTTTGAGGCAATAATGTATGGTCTTAGTGAGTAAAGACAAATCCAAATCTTAGCATTGTTGTATTTGTATATACTTACATTTTTATACTGAGAGTATTTTGTTTCTAAATCTTGTGTTTTCCAACCCAGTATCAATATATTTAATTCTGGTTAAATACTATTTAATCTAATTTAACTCAGTTGTCCAACCTAGTATCAATATTATTTAATTCTGAACAAAGCTTACAGTTCTGCTTTGTGAAGATGAACCACATAGAAATCAAAACTAGGATAAAGCAGGTGAGAAGTTGTATGGTACAGAGCAAAGAACACAGCCAGTAATAAAACATATTAGAGTAGTTGTCTTGCCATTTTCTCTGTTGACTCTTAAAACAGCTCATTTGGTAGGTATAACTCCCCAAGTTACAGAGAGGTAAGAAAGTTCTCATAATTATTATATGAAAATATACATTTGGATATTACATAAAGCTATGAAGCTTTCTGGATCTAGATACAGGGTCCTAATAGAGATCACTCTACATTTCTCATTGCTTAAGAATAATACAAATGAGAAAAACCATCACATATTTTACTTTGATATAAATGCAATGTCAACTATTCAATTACTCCTAGAAAGCAATACATGTGAATAACTCCCATGGAAAAGCTTCCATTCTTTTTACAAGGTGCAATTATACTAGTGACAATGACAATAATGACAGATAATAATGAATGTGTGTTGAATATGGAACCCCTCATTATCATGCTATTTGTATGATGTGTGTGAACTTCAATTTGAAAACATCATAGAAAAAAAGATACTTGGTGAACTACAAAAGTAAAATTAGAAGAACCTGAACTGCACTGATGGGGGTGCGGGAGGGGTTCAATTCTTTTCTAAATAATTCCAGCAGAGCTTTACAGATTTAATTTTAGATTAGTCAAAATCTACAAATGTAGTCTTAGTGGAATAATTAGAGCTCCTTCGTGTAGCAACGTGATCCACTTTATAGAAGCTCTTTACTTAGGAAACCAGTTTAGCCAAAATTAATATGTTCTCTTCATAGCTTTTATTATTTTAAAAATATTCCTTTCAGTGCCCCTTGCAGTACCACCGAGACCAAAGTAATATTTTTTTTAAAAGAATTAGAGAAATTTAAACAAAAAGCTGAGTATATCGTAAGTAATAATATTCGAAAGCTTTTGACTTGAATTCCTAGGTTCTTGCACAGAAAAATGTAAGGTTAAAAAGGCGATAGAATTTGAAGGTCTCCTCTGTTCCATCTCAGTAATTGCTCAACATTTACCATGTGTCACATTTGAGTGTGTGTGTATGTGTGTGTGTAGGCTGGCGCGCATACATACTTGGTTCCGGGGATGAATGATTGAAGGATGACCTAAAACCTCCTGGTGTAAACAAATTTTTCATCATACTGGTGTTCTAAGTATGGTAAAGTCTCATTTATTTATATTTCAGTGATTTGGAACTTTAATAATTAGGAAACAGGCCAGATAGAGTTTTCCTTTCCGGGCTACATGAGAAAAGTTTTCGTTAACTAGATTGCAAAAAGAGCTTTAGCCGATTTAAGAAATCAGTTGATTTGCTAGTACTTTTAGATAAAATTCATTTATATATTACAAATAATACTCCTTTGCTTATGAATGGAGGTATTCTGGAATGTTCTAAGAATCATTGCATCATGCAGTTAGAAAAGAACTTAGAGTCAGTCTAGTTTTGTGACTCCCAAACCTGGCTAGTTATCAGGATCATCTGAGGGGATTAGAAATTTTAGATTCTTGATATAGATTCTCAGTTCCCAATTCCAAGAGATAATGGCTCAATGGGAGGAGGCTTTAAAAATCAAGAATATTTCACGGCCTCTTAACTGTTTCTAGCACACATTGAGAATTGGGACCACTAACTTGGCCTGATTTTCTTTTGTAAAATTGAAATCCTAAAAAAAAAAAAAAAAAAAAAACCCTTAGAAATGTTTTTAATAGTTTTTTCATAAGTAATTCTTCTTATTTGGAAATTTATACTAAAATGGACCTTAGGTTTTCAAATGTACTCCATTGTGAATCTTGTTGGATAGACAGGTAGATATGTTAGATGTATATTGTCACCTTATGCTGAGCTGAAGAACTGACCTAGGTTTTCTAGAGATAAAGCCAAGAACCTGCTGCTGTAGCATGCAGCACTTCAAATACTGGGGAATCTTAAAAGTCTTCATTTCTTTCAGAAAAAATTTCTGTTTTCCTTTCCATCCTGGTCACTTCCTTGGGTATTGCCTGAATTATCACTGTTTCTTTTAGAATATAAAGAT